TTGTTCTGCTGCGCATATGAGTCAGTATCAACTTGATGCCACCTAACAACGACAATAACATCATCTATCTATCTATCTATCCTCTAGCTAGCTAGCTATTCACCCATCCTTCCAATCAGCCAATCATCTTCCCATTCACCCACCCACTTGCCCACTCATCTATCCATCCAACCAACAAACCATCCTCCCATCCATCATCCATCTCTCCATCTACCCACCTATCATTCATCTCTTTCTTTCTGCTATCTATCTATCTATCTATCTATCTATCTATCTATCTATCTATCTATCATTTATCTATCTATTTCTTAGCTATCTCTCATCTATCTATTTATCCATCCATCCACCCAATCCACCAATCATCTTCCCATCCATCTACCCTCTTACCCACCCACCCACTCATCCATCCTATCGTCTATCCACTCATCCCACCACCTTTCTATTTATCCATCTATCTATCCATCCAACTAACCATTCTCCCAACCATCTATTCTTCCTCCCATCCATCCTCCCAACCCTCCATCTTTCAATCCTGCCTCTGTCCATCTTTCCTTTAGTCACTGCATCCATGTGTCCACTCTGGGTTTGCCATCGGGGTGGAGCTTCCTGGTGATGCTCTGGGAAGGGATCTTTCCTCAGGTGATGATGGTGCCTGGCAGCCACAGTTAAACACTGCTTACCTGCACCCATGATGAGGCCCGGGGCGGTGTCCTTGGTGTGTACAGTGCCTGACACATAGGGATTGTCTGCCCATCGCAGGTGCAGGTGGAGGTAGCAATCCGGCTATAAGGAGAGGAAACCGCAGTCAGAGAAGAAAGTGTCCATCAGAAATAGAGGACTTGGGTTGTTGTGTGGGAAGGAGGCCCAGGTCACTCCAAAGAGAGGTGAGGAGGTAGGGAAACAGAACATGGGAGGTGGAGGGCAGTGAGGGGGCAGGGAAGGGTCAGTCTGAAGATGCTGCTCATTCTCTGCCCCGCCCACAAATCAACTGCATTGGAGATGAAGCCAGTCAGCTTCTCCAAGGGAGGAGTTTTCAGGTGGGCCCAGGTATGAGTCCCCACAGGGTCTCCTCCTCCTGAGTCTCAGGGAGTGCATTCCTGGAGTCTGTCCATTCAGAGTCTGCACTGGGGGCCTCATATGTCACCCCAGGAGCTGGGTATTGAGGATGACTTAATACCACAGACCCTACTCTGTTCTGGGGCAGAGGAGCAGGGAGCTACAGCCCGGCATCGAGGTATCCACAGAGAGAGCAGGACTTGTGGTAAGTGCTCACTGCTAACTGAAAAATCGGAGGTTCACATCCACCACCTGCTCCACAGGATAAAGACCTGGCAACCTGCTTCCTGAAACACAGCAGCCTAGGAAACCCTATGGGACAGTCCTACTTGTCACATGGGGTTGTTATGAGACAGAATTAACACAGCAACAACTGCTTCTCCATGCTGTGTGATGCTGGGAGAGACGCTCAGCATCTCTGAACCTCAGTTTCCTTCTCTGTGAAATGGAGCAGTGACCATTAACAATGGACTAACACAGCATGGCTCTGGGGCGTCAGGCCCAACCTCCCCCTAGACAGGGTACTGAGGGGTTGCTCTCCTGTTGTTAACTGCCGTTGAGTCAGTTCCGACCCATAGCAACCCTGTCTAGGGTTTCCAAGGAGCCTCTGGTGAGCTTGAACTTTCGACCTTGCAGTTCAAATGACTTTTCAGTGTGGCGCATTCGCACAGCGCCAAGCCAGGACTCCAGTTGCTCACTGTTGTTGTTGTT